AAGACAAGAGTATACATCACCCCATGTCCGGTCAAGTTCTGTGGATAAAACCCTCTCCCCCTTCCCCCTTTTCCCCTTCCTCTCCTCCTCCCCTCCCCTCCCCCTTCTCCCTCCTTCCCCCCTCCCCCTCCCTCTTCCTCTCCCTCTCCCCCCCTCTCCTCTCGCCCCCTCTCCCTCCCCCTCCCTCCTTCCCCCTCTTCCCCCCCTTCCTCTCCCTCTCCTCTCTCCCCCTCCCCCTCCCCTCCCTCCTTCCTCTCCCTCCCCTCTCCCCCTCCCTCCCCTCCCTCCCCCTCTACCCCTCTCCCGCGATCTTTTGCCTTTATTAAATCTCCATTTTTCTGTCTATAGTTTATTATCTATATGTGTGTCCGTCTGTCTGTCAATATTTTTTTATCCGTCTGTCTAGATAGTGTGACTGTATTTATGTATGTATGTGTAGATAAATAGGAAATACATAGAAAGATAAATACGTACTTACATACATATATACATACATGTGTATATTTGTGTGTGTGTGTGTGTGTGAATTGTGTGTCTGCGTGAATGTGTTGTGTGTGTATGTGTGTGTACGTATGGTATATCCCCGTCACCTTATGTTTCAGTTTAATTCTCTGGCGTTTATATATATATATATATATATATATAATATATATATATATATATATATATATATACATATATATTATACACATACATATACATATATATATATATATTTATTATATATGGTGTGTGTGTGTGTGTGTGTGTGTGTGTGTGTGTGGTGCTGTGTGTGTGTGTTGTGTGTGTGTGTGTGTGTTGTGTGTGTGTGTGTGTGTGTGGTGTATAGAATGAAAAGGAGAACCAGTGCTGCGCGCCGGTGAACATCTTTATTGTAAACGTTTCAGAGATCGTAATTCATCTCCATCATCAGTACTAGAAATAATGAACCAAAAAATATACAGTTAGATGCAGAAACAAAAGAAAAACATAGTTCATAAAAAGAGCAACAATAAAATGGGAATAGGATCAAACAAAAATAAAACGGCAGGAACATAGGGAAAAAGGTGTAAGTGTATGGGTGGACATACCAAACAAGTGTGAAAAGGTGGTTTGGTGATTACACAGTAAACAACTGGATGGCTGTGTGTTGGCATTCAGCTCGGGTTTTCATCTTATGGGTATGTAGAGGATTCTAGATGAGGGAGGTCGAGTCTGTTAGGTGTGGAAGACAGAATTTTTAAAAATCACTGTGGCGTGAAGGATGGTTCTTCTGTGTTGTGAATGATGCGCGATAGCGGAGAAAGATGGGTCTGCTCAGAGGTAGGCTGGTTCTTATAGACTTAACCATATGCTCAAGTATTCTATGTTTGAACCATCGTGTAGATATGATCCAATGTACCTAGCATTGCATCTAGGACAGTTAAAAATATACACAATATCTGGACATAATTCTGAGGGCAGAAGCATCTTCATTTTAAAGAAAGAGTTGATATTATAGGACTTCACAAAAACAATGTTGAATTTAATTTGTGGGAATGAATGTTTCAGTATCTCACGTAATTGTTTACGGATGGGTGAAGCAACTTATATGCCAAGGCACCAGGTAACTTTTATAATACTTGGTTTCTTTGGGAGCAGTTTTGTATTTATCTGGGGACCCATAACTATATACTATATATATTATATACTATATATCTACTACTATTATATATTTATAATTTATCAATACTAATATACGTATATGATGCGTGCGTAGCATCCGTGTGTGTGTGCAAGCAAACCTGGTAAATACGACGTCCCCTGGTNCTCTATCTCTCTCTATCTCTCGCGCTCTTTCCTGTCCTTCCTTCCTCCTCACTACCCCTCCATCTCTCTCCCGCCATCTTCTCTCTCCCTCCTCACCCCCTCTCCTTCCATCCTTCTCTTTCTCTCCTCACCTTTCCCTCGCATCATACCCGCCTTACCGACGCGTCCTTCAAAAACCTCATAATAAGGAGCGCCGTATTCATCTAGGCGAGAGATAGTCGGGGCGCTCGCTCTTTATAGCTCCCGGAGGAGATGCGCGAGCCGAAAGTCCTCAGATTAATGGTCGTCTGTATAACTAAATTAAACAGGATATTACGACCTTTAAAAGAAACCATCAATGAAACCATATACAACTCTATTCTTGCTTCTGGCTCTCGACCCGGTTACTTATATGGACTCCCAAAAGTTCACAAAAATAGGACACCCCTGAGACCTATTGTGTCCTCTATTAATACATTTAACTATAACCTTGCTAAATTCCTTGTCAAAATCATCCAACCCCTAACCATTAATGAGTACACCACTGCCAACACTTTGGATTTTGTGGAAGAAATCAAACAACTTAACATTGAAGATTCCACAGTAATGGCCAGCTTTGACGTGGAATCATTATTCACTAACGTTCCTCTGTCAGAAACTACACAGATTATTACGGACACCATATCAGACGAGTCCATATCACAGTTTGGTCTAAACAAGAAACAGTTTAACT